CGGACAGTCTCGGTCGTTGTGTCCTTGGGCAAGACACTTCACCTACCGCCTACTGGTGTTGGCCAGAAGGGCCGATGGTGCCCTTCTGTCAGTCTGTCAGTCTGCCCCAGGGCAGCTGTGGCTACAACTGCTGTGGCTACAACTGTAGCTTGCCTCCACCAGTGTGTGAATGTGTGTGTGAATGGGTGGATGACTGGGTGTGTAAAGCGCTTTGGGGTCCCTAGGGGGGACTAGTAAAAGCGCTATACAAATACAAGCCATTTACCATTTATATATAAATAAAATTGAATTGAATTCAAATAAGCCATGCCTCTGCAGATGATCTGTTAGCTGTTTGACAACTACTCAAGAAGTTTTAAGAATTTTAGATATGAAAGGAAGGTTGGAGATTGGCCTATAATTAGCTAAGACCGCTGGATCAAGAGATGGCCTTTAAGTAAAGATTTAACTACTGGCCGCTTGAAGGCCTGTGGTACATAGCTGATTATTAGAGATAGGTTGATCATATTTAAGATTGGAGTTCCACAGGGTTCCATGCTAGTGCCAATTCTGTTTACATTATATTTGCTTCCCTTAGGCAGTATCATAAGAAAGTATAGCATATATTTTCACTGCTATGCAGATGATATCACATACCAACTAGTTAAGCTGCAGGAATGTCTCAAGACCTGACCTCTAATTTTCTGCTTCTAAATTCAGATACAACTGAGATTTTGAGACAACTGAGAACTGAGATCCAATCTTAGAAACATGGTATTTTAACAGATGCTTACTCTGGATGGCATTGACCTGGCTTCATGTAACACTGAAGAATCATGGCGTCATTTTTGACCAGGATATGTCCTTTAATCCAAATACTGAATAAATATTTTGGACTGTTTTCTTCCATTTGCCCAAAATCTCTAAAATAAAAAACATCCTGTCTTTGTCAAGGTAGAAGCAGGGCTCACACGCAAGGTTCCAAATGACGACAGTGCATTTATTTATAGTGGATAATAATAACAGTTCATAAAGGTAAACACAGTTTTGAATGTCCAGTTTCTTCCAGGCTTTATATTTATAGTACCAATGGGATGTTTTTACGTAATCTCATTGTTGTAGCCAGTGACAGTTCAAAGGTGAGTTCTGAGGCCAACAAACACAGTGGTTAAGCTTTTTAATGCAGCTGATTTTTTTTGTTATTAATATAGTCAATATAGTTTAAAAACATCAAGGTATAGGCCTTAGTTTTAGTTCATGAACAACAGGTTTGTTTGTTTTTTTGGGAGATATGTGGTCCTCACAGGATAGCCACCACATGCTGGACATTAAACTAAATATAAAGCACAGCTGGGATAGGCTCCAGCACCCCACGCAACCCTGAAAAGGACAAGCGGAAGCGAATGGATGGATGGATGGATAAAGCACTTATAAGTAGCTCTGTTTACCTTTTCGTAAAAGTCACTGCTCATATAACCCAGATTTAAACATATTTGGAGTGAATAAAGCATCTTCACTACTTAACAGCTTTTACTTAATATGATAGTTTAGGTGACTTAAGCTTAATAGTATTCGTTCAGTCATTTTCACAGTTGTTAAATTACACATTTAACTTTGATTTAAGGACCACTGACCTTTAACAAAAGGCTAAGAAAACGCTTTCATCTTTTAAGTAGCCTTACTGTGTTGAGTCTCTAATGTAATGAGCAGCCCTCAGCAGCAGAGAACAGATGTTTGCATGAATTAAATATTTGTTGAGACTGAAGTAGAGCTGTGGGGTATTAACCGCTAAGCATTTCTTTAGTTGGGGGTTTCTGTCGCTGCTTACAAAAAAGCACAAAACCTACAATGCTGAGCTCATAATAGACACGGGTTTACATTATTTATTACCCAGTTGTGTAGAAGTATTTCTTCAGGTCACAAGCATCTCTCCTAGTAACAAAGATTCCAGTACATTTATTTTCAATATGAATGAAGGAGAATAGAAAAATGCTTCTCCTTGCAGTTATAGTAGATTTCATAGCTGAGGAAGAGAGACACATTCAGAATGTTATGGGTGATGTCCAGCTGTGGTTATACATTATTGATGTACCAGTACACTTAGACAATACTGTGTGCAGGCTGTAAGACATATTGATGTGATTTAAAAAACTACAGTTAGTGGTTGTTGGTAATGTAGCAGGCATACGACAATGAGCTCAGTCCAAGGTCAGGACCTCTGAGGGATAAGAAAATCAATAAGTTTGACTTGTTCCTTACTTGACTTGATCCAATTGTAGAGGATCTTGCAGTTTTTTTTCATGGTAAAGTCTAATGTAGTGATGTGTCAGTCGTGAACAAAATGGCTCCTAGAGCCGGGTCTTTGACATGAACGACGCGAACCGTGGGTTTTTTTTCTTTTCTTTCTCTCACCCTCTCTCTCGCACTTTTTTTCTGCTTCACTCAGCATGCAAGCCTTGTGCTTTACGTTGGGATGAGGGGGGAGGGGCGGTAGTTACACTCAGTAGCACAGGAACAACAGAGCTGGAGGGAGAGAGAGAGAGAGAGCCAGGGACAACAACGTCACATTAGAAAGGTATAGTAATCATCCACAACTATTTTCAGTTGCAGATGATAAAGGATTCAGAAAGTTTATTTATGCAGGTCCATATGACAGAGAATATGCATCTTCTTTTTGTTTTCATATTTTAATTTATATTTAATTGTGTTGTGGTTTGCAGTGTTTTGTGTTGTTTCACTTTAAAATTTTTAAAGGAAAAAGCTGAAAATTTAAATAGTTAAAAGTTGAAATGTTGGTTTTTGTATTATATGATTTATTTATTACATTTTATGTGGAGTGAATAAATAAAAGTATATTTAGGGTGGCCCCTACAGACAAAGCACGTACAAACTTCAAAACACACACGTACAAACCCTGAAGCATGTAAAAACTCCAAAACACGTAAAAACTCCAGAAGCACATAAAAACTCAAAACACATGCAAAAGACAACAGAAGTGCTCCAGGATGCTAGGCGCAGTGTTGACCTTTTGTTACCTAGTGGCTACACAAGCCAGCAAGTACCAACAACCGGATTTGGTGTGTGTTAATAACAGGTAAATGTTAAAGGTTTTTTTTAAATTATTTGAATATATATGAGTGCTTGTGTATAAATACACAAACAATACACATATGCTTTCAATTGTGTAATTTAAGTGATCTAGGTAGCTCTGTTTTGGAAATTCAGTTCATGCTAGAAAAGTGTTTTGGAGTTTGTACGTGCTTTGTCTCTAGGGGCCACTGTAAATATTTATATATAAACATATTATATATAAATAAAACCACTTTTTTTACATTAGTAATTCCTTTTGTGCATAATTTTATATTATTGTTAATAATAAATTAATTAATTAAAGCAACAAAACAACCTGAAGAGCCAGTTCTTTTTAGTGAGCCGAACCGGAAGAGCCGGAAATCCCATCACTAGTCTATTGGCGGTGCAGCATGCCAGCAATTTGATTTCTTCCTATCACTATTTACTCTGAACAACCCATTAACACTAAATAAAGACAAGAAATCACAAGATATTAAGAGACAACATTTTATTACTGTCAGCCTTAAATATGAGCACACACTTTTCATCAATAAAATACATATGACCAACAACTCTATACAACTACCTTCAAGTAGTATTTACGTGACCAAGTAGTATTGGGGTAAAAGTTATTGAATAGTGTTGAAATAAAATGACAAAATTGTGAAGGATTAAAATATTCCAAGAGCTCAACTTACTTCATCTAAACATGTTTCAATCGCGTTTTATGAACACAAAATGCACAGTTTTATTGAATATGAAAAAGTTGTGTTGATTTAACTCAGTTGTTTAAGTTTCTGCCAAAGCAAAACATTTGTGTGCAACCAATGTCCACTATTGAATCAAGTAAATCAAACATGGCCTTTTTTTCAGTGTAGGGTAGAATTTTAGTCATGTAAATAATCCAAAAATGAATCCCAACATATTGTGAGACAATGTCATGAATCATGATAATCTCCGGGCAGCTGAGACAGATGTTTGTAATTGGTCATATAAACATGAACATGCAGTGCTTCCAAAATACAAATCTTAGTGGGCTGTGATTCAAAATTGGCTCACAGAAACAAAAAAAAATATGTGTATCCAGCACTTCTCAGTGCGTTTTCATAAATGAATGCTGGTGCAGGATCAGAAATAGGTATTTCTAAGATCCTCTGCTCATTCGCCTGGATTTTGTCATAGGTTTGGCTTGATTAGGACTTGCATATAATTTTTTTTAAAGTCATGCTTGGTGGGAATTGGTAGCCATTGCTCTAACATAGTGCAGACACAAAAAATGCAATATGCCTTCCTTCAATTTTTCTGAGAGATTAATTGTTACTGTGGTTGCTTATTTCCAATTTAAATAGGTATGTCAGCTCCTGCTGTGTTGAGTTTGCCTGAAAGAGATGCATATTATGTGCAGTTGCTGAAAGTGCATAGCATGTGGAAAAATAATCAATTTTAATCCAACTCGTTTCAGTTTAGTTCCATTTACATAGCGCCAAAGCACAAAAACAACCACAATCATCTCAAGGTGCTTTATACTGTATATTGTAGAGTAAAGATCCTACAACATTAAAGGGAAAATCTCAATAATCTGCCAACCCCCTAAGTGCAAGCACTTCTTGAAAGTGGGATGGAAAAACTCCCTTTTAACGAAAGAAACCTCTGACAGAACCAGGCCTAGGGAAGGGTGGCCATCTGCAATGGCTGGTTTGGGGTGAGGGGAAAGAAAAGATAAAGGGAAAAGAGTGACAAGACAAAAAAAATATTTAAATTATTTTCTAAAAACTAAATGTAATAGTGCAGTCTTTCACAATCAGTTTTTGACTTTTAATTACTAAAGGGAATGAATACTTAAATTAAATTTCAATTTAATTCTATTTTATTTATAAAAAAAAATGACATTTAGCAAAACACTGTAATCATCACACAAGGTCAGACTTCTTACTTAAAGGAAAATTTCATTTTTCAAGTATCAAGCTAATGTAGCTATGATTCTTCATTGTTAGCCAGTGCTGCCTGTGGCTGTCTTACAGGAAACAATCAAAATGTTATTCCAAAACAGAAACCTGCAGACAGAAACGTCATGAAGCTGTTCGAAGACTTGAACAATCAAAATAGTCTGCAAAGATGAATATAAATACATCTGCATTAAGGTTAGCTGGAAGGTTGTCCAAAACACATGCCATTTCTATTTTAGCACAAACCCTTGAACCATAGTAGTCACATTAAAGGGATCATTAAAAGTTTTGAATTTGAATTAAAGTGAACCTAGATAAGAACAACTGGACAACATGAGGACAAAGAAAGATTTTGTTTGGTTTTTCAACTAAATGTGTATTAAATGGGAAATTAGCTGTGTTGTGTGGCACAAATCATTACACTGCCTTGCAACAAACAATGTGACTGTCTTTATTTAACTGCTCTGCAAGCCAGCTTGTCTAACCTTGAGGATGACAATGTCCATAATGTATCAAGAACACTGGCACTAGGTAATACAAAAGGCTTTAAAAAAATCCAAAATAAGCCTGTAAAGAGGCAGCATGCATAGGTTTTCTCCACATGCTTTTCCCTTTTCTGTGTTTGGAACAACAGGGATTTGAGAACAATGAAATTAAAATTACCTTTTACTCTTAGCTTTGTACATCTCAGACCAACACGAAAGCTTAAGAAAATATAATCCAGTCGGATTTCCAACAATGATCTGACAGGCATTGACTCTTCTCTATGTCATCCTCTGATCATGGATGATACTTATCGTTCCCAAAAAGTTGTGTTCTGTGCCTTCTGGGGGATTTTTGTTTTTTGGAGGCCTTGAACTTATGATCTCATTGGCAGAATTTTAGGAGTAATCCTGTTTTGTCTGCATCTGAGGCTGAATGTCAGGTGGTTCCTGGAGTCAGCTATCTTACTTGCTGTTTGCTCGTACTCATGTAGTAGCTTTAGGCAGTCTTTGCCAAAGTGGGTTAAAATGTCTTGATGCATCCAGGTAAGGAAAACCACCAAGTCATTGGCTCAGGTATGTGGATGACAATCTCAGGATGTACCACAATTCACTGATCACATTAACTCGGTAGACAAACACATCAAGTTCACCAGGGAGGATATGAAAAATGACAGACTAGCCTTCTTACACTGTAAGATTTTCATCAGTAATGGGGGTCATTTTAAAGTTGATGTGTACCGTCTACCTACGCATATGGATCAGTATTCAAGGTTTAACTCTCATCATCCACTAAAGCAAAAACTGGTTGTCATCAGGATTTTAAAACATAGAGCGAACACCATCCCCACAGATACAGCAGCCAAGGAAGCAGAAAAACATCCTATCAAGATGGCCTTGAGTAAATGCGCCAAAAATTGGTCTACCCCAAGGATCAAATCACCAGATACAAACAGAGTAATGTAGTGTACACTGCTAAGTGCCAGAAGAATTGCCATGATTTATACATTGGGGAAACCAAACAACCTCTGGCAAAGTAGATGGCACAACAAGAGGTAACTCATCAGGCCAAAACTTTGCAGTCTATATAATCCTACAGGCTGGTGCATACTCTTTCCACTAACCTGTAGGATGAAGCTGTACCGGTACACATCCTGGACAGAGAGGAGTGCTGGTTTGAGTGGGGAGTAAAGGAGGCCATTTACGTGAAAAGGGAAAGACCATCTCTGAATCGAGGAAGGAGCCTAAGGGTACATCTTTCGCTATCTTACAATGCTGTGATGGCAGCCATTCCCCAACTCTCTATGAATGGTACTGATGGCCACTGATCAGTTGTCATTGAAGAATAGTCTTTGGTCTCTGGTTGTTAATAGATAATAATTTAATAATTTCAAATATATTAATAAAAGTTCCTAGAGGTCATCCAAGGTCACCCAGCACCTTTCTTTATTGTGAAAACATTGTGAAACATAAACCATGATATTTTTATCATGATCACAATCTCAAAAGTAAAAAAAAAATAGGTTAACAGTAATAGTTAAAATAGACTAAGCATTAACAAAATACAAATTAATCAGAACAACATCGGGATGTTTTTTGTTAGAAAAGGTAAATACGGGCTTTTGACCTTGAAACTTTCATTAATGTTCTTACAAAAGCATTGCAAACTAACATTTTAGAAGCACAAACCAGCACAAATGTTTGCAATCAATTTTGTTTGATTTGAAGAAGGTGGGGTCAGCTGAGACTGAAGAAGTCACTTGGATGAGTGACGAAACATTTCTCCCACTGAAAGCGATACGTCCACATGAACAGAATCAGCGTTTGGGGATTTTCTTACCTGGATGATTAAGAATGCATCAAGATTTTTATCACATTCTTAGCTCAGTGTTAAGCAATTTGCAAAATTTTATCCATGATGAGAGATTTTACTGCAAGTTCATAAACAGGTATATTTGATATAAAAAATTTGTAGAGTTCTAAAGTCATAATTTTAATTCTCACAGTTTCGGTTACCTTGTGAGATAGTGTTCAAACTGTACATGTGCTACTAAGTGTGAGCAAGTACTCAGCAGCAAATGTACTGGAAAATCTAAATAAGACTTTCAGGTGTTTATTGCTGCGCTATTAAATAATCTGGCTAGATGATAAACATTTGCTTATAGGTAGTATTGAATGGATCACTGCAAAAACTTCCCTTGGAGGTGATCTGATGTGAGTCCATCTTAAATGTGGTGAATTTTGTCATAAAATGACTGTGCAGGATAGACGTGTGATTGGTAGTGCCTTCTTTCAACCCAGGATGGAATAATTACCATGTCATTTCCAAACATTGGAGTGCTAGAGATAAATAATGTTCTGCAGTCTCGCTCTGTCCCTCCCTCTCTCTGATATGTGAAAACAAACAATGATTAGCCTGTCAGATTCAGGTCATGATTATCCTGATCAGTTTCTAAAACGACCCGTTTCATGCCTCTCTGATTTGGATGTTGGCTCTTCTTTTCACATCAAGGAGTAAAAAGGTTGTTATCCCCAAAAACCATGGAAAGAAAAGAAAGATAGAGGTAGGGGAATGTGGATGATGGAATAGGGCCTCAGTGGTGCTGACACAAGCAAGAGGGAAAAGACTGAGAAAGGGGGCAAAAAATGTATATTAAAAGAACAGAGGTCATTGCTTTTGTGTACCCTTTCCTCCTTTTAGGTGTGATGAACTTTCAGAAGATAAGAAAGGCAACATCTCCCATCATTAAACAGACATAGTAATTTGTTTTAATTCACTGTTTTTGTTTGTTGCAGTGTTAATGGAAACCTTCAACTGCAAAACTCTGATAGAAACTGACAGTAAAAACAAACAGCATTTTGCAAGGGATGCACAATGTCTTAAAACAATCCTTCTCATTACAAAAGCCAGTAGTTCAATACCAGATGTACATTTTTTGTTATTGTCACTAAATAACAAAAAAGCATACCCATGTTAAGTACAGTCTGCCAATTGGTACAAATCTCTATTCAAATTGAGAGATATGAAAGAGAGAAATTACCAGCTTTAATTCTTCCTGTCATTTTGTGAGAGGTTACAGATTGTTGCATAAAATTCTCATGCTCACAATGAAATATGGTAAAGGAGGTCTGCTGATTGTTTGCTGCCTGTGACACTCTGCCTGCACTGATGTTTGTCCATAGTGAAACATATGATTTTCAGGTTTTCTCATATATTCTGTCTTTTCTGTTAATGCAAGTTATATATCAGGTGATAAGAACTGTTGTGGCCTATTTGCTGAGACCTTTAATCAGTCTCAGTTATTGCAGTTGGCTTGCATACTCTACAGTAAAGTCTAAAATATTTAAATCTTCTGACCAACATCTCACAATCTGACTCCTATACTGTACATTTTGGTTTAAGAGTATCAATGATTTTGTATTTTACTCGTGTCAAAAGACAACACATTTACTCTAAAGGTCTTCATGAGTCTACCCATGTCAGTAGATCTGTATAGTACTGGATAATGGACAAAATACTAAAGATGGGTCTTAGCCTATAAGTCTAAATCGTGAAGTGGCAGCAAAAGTACCTTAAATCTGCTTTCATTCTAATAGGCTAAGAATAATTGCTTAATTTATAGTCCAAATCAACAGAAGTCTGAAAGTCTTTACTGCAAAATGTTTGCTAATTCAACCTTCTTCTTATAAGTTTATGGTCTCAGTTCCTACTTTCAATACATCTTCAGTCTAATATGATCTTCACTTTGTGCATTATAGTTTAATTTACAGATAATGATGAAACAATGTATGCTTCAAGTTACTATTGTATGGTAGTGAATAATTTCCTCAGGTTGTCAATGAAAAAGGAACTCTTAAGACTGCAAATGAGCAATTATGTCACAGTGGCATAAATGCTCATTTGCAGTTATGCCACGTTTTACATATAGTCTTTATTTCTGACCTATTTTTTCTGACCTTTTTTTTAACCCAGGTGTTATTTCTATATTATTTCTGGGTCAATATTAAAAAAAATAGGCCATTCCACTTTAATTCACTGTGGTACATTTTTGCACAGACAGACATTTCTGTACCCATGAAGACCTCTAGTTTACTCTGAAGTTAATGAGAAGACAATACTTAAAAATCAGGGTCTTTGTTTGGTGATTTGAAAAACAGGAAGTATATGAAATATAGTCTTTGGGTTATTTGTGTCTAAATACATGCAGAAAGAGTTTATTTTGTGTTAATCTACTGAAAACGACTGTTCTGTAATCCTCCAGTGCTGGTTTAGAACATAAACAGGAACAATTTCTAGAGCATGTATACATGGTATGGTATTAAACAAATATCAATAGCATTAATAGGTCTGCATTACTTAAGTCAGATGTCCACTCCATACAAGTGTAGCTAACATTCCCTCCATCTGTAAATATTAAAGTCTAACATAATTATAATTATAATAATCTTGACAACATTTTTGTATACAACCAGTACGAGTAAAGAACAAAAAATGACAAAGAGATGAAAGTAAGAGGTTCGTCCCAAATAATTACAAGTTCATATTTCCCGTTCATAAAAATATTTAAAACTACACATAATTGAAAAAATATAATTAAAAAGATTAGCATAGCACAAGTGCAAATATATCACTATAATGGTGGGAACAAAAATACTACAATTCTGCTTTCAACAACCAGACGAAAGGATAATTATTACACATTAAAATATGATAACACCAGGTTTTCAGCCTCAGGGCAACCTTGTGTTTGACTCTTTCAGGTTAATTTTGAGGTATTTAGAATTCACTTCTTATATTTGCTGTAAATTTGCTGTTTCCTGGAATAGACATGAATATTCAGTGTGGTTAAATTCAAGACAAATCCATTTGATTAAGAGACACTTTTTAAAAATAAGAGACACCATTTTAAAAATCTTTTTTTTAGAATCACAGGTAAAAAGAGACAATCCAGAATAATATGATTCAAAGAGAAAAATATCCAACAAAATTCAATTAAAAGGTGAAACATTTGTTACATCCTTGAAATCTCCAAAAAAAAAAAAAAAGACCCTCAATGACATACTTGTTTAGCGGGTCAACATCAATGCAGTGCAGATTAAATCATGCACTTAATGTGCATCAGTTTATGGTTTCAGTTGGAAAAAACAAAACGCACACACACACACACACACACACTCCCACGCATACACACACACACACACACACCTACACACACTCACACGCATACACACACACGCAGGCACACACACACACAAAACACTGGAGTTCAACTCAATTTGTCTTCAAAATCTAAGCAGGAAGGACAGAATCATAATGAAGAGGAGACAGTTGTGTGAGTGCACACTCATTGCACCGCCGCTGCCATCCTGAACTGCTCTCGGTCCTAACAGGAGATAGAATGAGGAAAAACATCTGGGTAAGTTTCACCACTAAGGAGTTTTCTTCTTTTGGTGTGTCAGTACTTGAAGTAAGTTAATAAACCTCCCGTCTGTGAACAATCCAGCATTACAAACATAATTGTGTTTTTTTTAAACAACAACTTAAAGAGTAATAAGAGCTGTAACAGTTATTATGGTTTGTATGTCATCTTAATAAGATGGCATGAAGACAGTACTGCAATTTTGATGCAGAAGTTTTTGCTACAATATATTAGAGTTCAATTTTAGGGACACCTGGTTGTGTCTTTGATGGTATGTTCCAGCAAATGGCCATAGAAAGGTTTAGGGTTATCTTGCAAACAGTTTTGCATTCATAACAAGAAATATTACACAGCTACAAAATGTCAATGGTTAATATATCAGCAAAAATTCAATACACATTCAGCTGACGGAAATTGAGAATGTGCTTTAAAAAGTTGTTTGACAATGCACACCCACAGACTGTATGGCAACAATTATGTTTTAATACTGATAAAGTTAACAATGACTTAAACCAAGAGCCTGAAAAAGTGACTAACTGTATTATCTATACCTTCTTTTGTTTCTCCACAAAACCTACGATTTTTTAAGGTTTAGAGTTAGGAAAAAGAAATGCAAGATATTTGCATAGCGAGAATCTGGGAACACAGTAATTAACACTGTAACTGCCAGGAGGAGTGATTTTGACCCCTCAGTTGATTGTTTACATTTTAAAATTGATCTCAACGCAGGCTACACAAAAGGGTGGAAAAAAAGCATTTTAAATTATTATTGTAAAAGTAGTAATGTCCAAGTTGATCATCTCGTCCATTTTTACATCTGCCTCAAAATCACCAAAGTGCAGCCTCCGATTCAGTGTTCACACTGCTCCCCAATTCTCAATCTGCAGCTTCACCTCCCCAGCTGTCCGGGTCAGGCCTAAAACCTGTTTTACTAATGTGCTCTGGATTTCACTATTCATTTGTTTGGATTAGTTCTCCACAGTCTAGACTCTCTGTTCACTTTGGGTATGAATTCCTATGCTGCTCAGAAGAGAAAGCAACCTGCCACTTCTCCATGCTTTCGGTTACGCACTCCCCCTGCTTCTGCTCAAAATCCCATACTCAGCCTGTAGTAATCTTTCTTTTTCTTTTTTTTTTATCTAACTACAATCCCCTATATATTTATTTATCAGTCACATATAACTAGCTTTTGGCTGATGTTATAACAGTCAAAGGTGGATTCTAGGTAAAAGTGGACATTTTGTTTTTCTTTTGATCCCAAACATTCCAAAATTCCAAATTTGATAAATAATCCCTTTTTAAAAAGAAAAAAAAGGCATGAAATTTGAGACCATCAGGTTTTATTTTAATAGAGTTACAGGATTTTGAAAATTCCAGAGGGTCAAAATGTCCATCAAACTGGTGTTAAAAAGTCGCGCTGGCTGAAGTTTTAAGTTAAAGCAAGTGATAAATGCCATGGATCCTACTTTAAAGTCCCTCAGGATTCTATTACAGTTTATTTTTTTGTTAAACTGTGTTTGTAATTTGTTTTTGAACATCACTTACGATGCATTCTTTTCCTGTATTTGTTGTAAGTAGCAACTGTAAATTAATCATCATCATTCATCTTTGGATCTGATTTATTTAGCACATAACAGTGAATAGTGTTATGAAGTTTGGATGATAATGAAAGATGAACAAAGAGAAGCAAAGTAAGGAAGTAATCTCAGTGAGGAAGTAACAACACTGTCAAAAAACTATATTTAAAGGAAAACTCTTGAAGATGACATGAACTGCTCAAAGGTTTAGTAGGATAAAAATGAACCGTGCTCAGCAAGGTTGTTTTTTCAAGGACATTCTTAGGATTGAGAAGTGATTTAAAACACTTATTCAAATTGAAATGCAGTATTCCAGCACTGATATTTTTAACACATTGCTAAAATTACCAAAGTATTGCATGATGCATTTTATGAATAAAAGTATGTAATATTTTCATCATGCCCTTTTTGGGGATGAGGCAAGTTCTAAATGAGTGTATTATAAAAGGATTTTGGATCATTTTTACATTGAAATTGGTAAAACAATGACTACTCATTTCCCTTGGCTTTCCACAAGTTTCCTTTGGGGGCATGTATCCAATTATCCTTCCACAGTGGATTATTCCTAATCCTCTCTACTGCTAATTAGAATAATGAAAATCACTCATAGTCATAGTCCAAATCAAAGTCATTAATACAATTCTGTTATGTGAATGGACTGCTGGTCGCAGTCACAAGGACAAATCAAATGGCAAAGTAGGTGTGGTGTTTATCTCTGCAGTTTCACACGTTAAAGTGCTGGACATCAAAATGTGCACAGATTCACACAAGAAATTTGCAATTTTGTTTGGTTTTCTTCTGTAGCATGTACAGTTAAAATGCAGCAAATATTGGTACAATGGATCACAGAAGAACAAACAAACATGATAAATACTTACATTAGGAAAAGCACATGCAAAGAATCAAAATGAAGCCGATGTCGCACAGAGAGGCAGTTAGGTTTGAGAAGAAAAAGATGAAACACAGTTAATGAAACAGACTTCATTGACCATTTTCACAGATTTGCATATGTCAGTTTCCTTTGCTGCTCACCGTCCTCAGAGATCCTGCATACCACACAAGAACTCTAACATGTCAATTCAATAAAACCACAGAAGGTTAAAGTGCAATTTTGACTGGTTCAAAAAGCCAAGACAAATGATTTCACTTTTTTCAAATGTAGCAGAGACTCATCGTCTCTGAAATTCTAATGCAGCCTAACTTACAATTGTGAAAATGGCAATGTTCCACAGGCTCCAGCATGCAATTAATACTATTGATCCTCGACAGCTGACGTTCATGCTGGTGTTGAATACTAACCTTGCAAAAGTGTTGAGCTAGTGGGTTCAATTACCACTATACCAGGGAAACAAATTGAACAGAGCAACGTGTCAGAAACAGAAAAGCAACATAATGATATCATGATATCAGACAGTTCAACTGACAAAACAGCAGCAACGCCCATTTATAAAAGCAAAGGTGGGGCCCTAAAGGCAAAACACTGTGTTTTAAGTACCACAAATAAAGTAATTTTAGCAAAATTTTAAGAACAGCAAACATCTGTGCACTCTCCAAATAAAGACCCTTTAACAATGCAATATGTAACAAGGACCTTCTTTTTTTATTATTATTTGAATGGCCGTCTGTCATATAAATAATTTTTAAGGCTTTATTCAGACATTGCAGTATGATTTCAGAAAGAATTTTAATGTTTACATGAGAACAGTGTATTTAAAGCTCACACAGGCTTGATAACTGATTTCCAAGAGTTCTATAGACTTATATGTATAGCACAGGTATTTATTACCACGCAATTCGCACTTCAACCTGGTTTGCCTCTTACCTGTAGTTATTTTTATTTAATTTAATAACTGTACAGTACTCTCTGTATATAGTAACCACTGTCCTTAATGTAAATACGTAAGAAAAATTGTGTATGTTTCTGTTCCGTGTCCTGTGTACTGTTTGTTTGTATATGTGTCTTTTTGGCTGCTGTTACAACCAAATTTCCCCTTGTGGGACAATTAAAGGATTATTCTATTCTATTCTATTCTAATTATTTTCCTTGTGTGTGAGCAGAGAACTCAGGAGCCACACATACAAATAAGCCATGATTGTGCACACGAGGGTGTATGCTCAGCAGTCCCCTTAATTTGCTGTATAATATTACACATATATTATCATGACAAAACAAACAAACAAAGCCTAACCTGGGATCTAACAAATTATACAAATTAGAACTTTAGCCAAAACATAGACTTAAACATGCCAACAAAACGTTTATCAGTCTAGTCCCAGAAGTGGCTATTCACTCACTGACTATATTTTGGCCTTATTTTTGATGGAAGCCATATTAAATAAGCAGGAGCAGATGAAGAGGACATGATGTCAGACACAGGAACAGCACAGTGAATCCAATACATTTTCAAAATAAGATGCAACTCTCCACTTCTCAATTTTTTCTGGTGAGATTTATAACTTCACAGAGAACAGAACAGTGGAGATAGTGAAGTTAAAGACATGAACCCAGGGTAGTACTTGGTTAATGAAACCATCTTGGACTGTATTCGGTGACTTATTCTGCTTTGCAGCCTTGGTGAGCTCAGTGTACAGTACATAAAAAAATTATCCACTGGCTGCAGGTTCTGGTTTGAGAGGCTCCACAGCAGCACAACAAGTACCATCTTGGGCTGTAGAGTGCAACTCTGGTCACTACATGTGACAGTGATCAAAGACCCAGCTTAGTGATAATGAGGACCACTGCAAGAGTGACCTGATTAGCAGCAACTATCCATCCATCCATCTTCTTCCGCTTTATCCGGGGCTGGGTCGCAGGGGCAGCAGCCTAAGCAGAGAAGCCCAGACCTCCCTCTCCCCAGCCACGTCCTCTAGCTTATCTGGGGGAACACCAAGGCATTCCCAGGCCAGCCGAGAGATATAATCTCTTCAGCGTGTCCTGGGTCTGCCCCGGGGCCTCCTCCCGGTGGGACATGCCCGGAACACCTCACCCAGGAGGCGCCCAGGAGGCATCCTTGTCAGATGCCCGAACCACCTCAGCTGGCTCCTTTCGATGTGGAGGAGCAGCGGCTCTACTCTGAGCCCCTCCCGGATGGCTGAACTTCTCACCTTATCTCTAAAGGAGAGGCCATCCACCCTTCGGAGGAAGCTCATTTGTTCTTTCGGTCAGTACCCACAGCTTGTGGCCATAGGTGAGGGTAAGGATGTAGATCGACCAGTAAATTGAGAGCTTCGTTTTTACACACAACTCTCTCTTCACCACGACGGACCAGTGCAGCGTCCGCATCAGTAATCCGCCTGTCGATCTCCGGCTCCCTTCTCCCATCAATCGCGAACAAGACCCCAAGATACTTGAACTCCTCCACTTGGGGCAGGAACTAATCCCCGACCTGGAGTGGGCACTCCACCCTTTTCCGGCTGAGAACCATGGCCTCAGATTTGGAGGTGCTGATCCTCATTCCAGTGCAAGCTGGAGGCCATCACCCGATGAAGCCAACAGAACCACATCATCTGCAAAAAGCAGAGATGAGATTCTGAGGCCACCTAAGTGAAAGCCCTCCGCCACTTGGCTGCGCCTAGAAATCCTGTCCATAAAAATTATGAACAGAATCAGTGACAAAGGGCAGCCCTGGCAGAGCCCATTACCCACCGGGAACGAATCTGACTTATTGCCGGCAATGTGAACCAAGCTCTTGCAACGGTTGTATAGGGATCGAATGGCCCGTAGCAATGGACTAGACACCCCATACTCCTGTAGCACCTCCCACAGGACACCCCGTGGGACACGGTCGAATGCAGCAACTAAACATCAAAATAAAATGACCGCATACAACAATGTTTGTACAAATCTGACATATTACACAATCTTAGTTATAGTTCCTGTTGTCAAGTATCATAAATGTACTTACCAAACAGAAGGAAGCTTGTATTTGAACTCCCAAGTGTGTTCATGGCAACACAGGTGTAGTTGCCATAATCTCCATCAGACACATTAAAGAAGGTCAGCTTTGATCCTAATCCAGTACTGACAATCTCGATACCATCAAAGTCATTAAAGATCCTAAATGAGTGAAAAATATCAAATCATATCATTCATGTTTTCTTTTTTACTTTTTTTCCACACTTTTTAAAAAAAAAAAATCAGTTTAGATAGTATTGGGACTATAAATTTCACAGCAGATCATTAACCATCAGTCCCTTGTGTGCACACACACACACAAAGGCACACGCACATATTCACATACCTTTAATTTGCCTATTTAAAATGCAAATGTAAGACCAATTACCTTCTGTTATCTTTGTACCATTCAAAATCTGCCTCAGGCACTGCATCAGCCTCACACTCCAGCACTCCTCTCTGGCCCAGTGTCACTCCAACATCTCTGCCCTCTGACACAGCTGGAGCATCTACAACCAGACAGAAACACACAGGGATGTTGTGTATGGGAGTAAGCGGCAGCACAAGCATTGATAAGCAGGAGACAGAGGTCATGGCATTTTCCTGTCTTGACTCTATGCCACAACCACAAGTGAACAGATAATATCATTCAAATTATACATAATACTTAGTACAGTGTTGAAACTACATAGTGTTAGAGTATGATGTGAAGAAAATAACTGTTCAGGTTTTAATGATCAATTTTCTTACCTCTGTATCATAGAAATATTATAATATAAATAATAGTTGTTAGCTGTATGTCCAAAATATAGGCAAATGTGCCCAAGTAGTCAGCTACTGCTCATGGGCCTTTCAAACTTGCTTTGATTTCAGGGTTCTCTGTGGTAACTAAAAAATGATAACTACACACAGACAATATGAATAATAACTTGTACTGCAAAAATAAAGGAAAACAATGAAAATGCCACTTGTGATAATAAAGTATAATTCAATGCCACAAAATCAGTTTTTTGTCAAATAGGCCAAAAAGCAACATCAATCATTATTACAAAGTGCTAATGATTTATATAGCATTTGGCATTTAGGTTTGACAAATGAACCAATGATTAAGGTTGCAGATTAATTTCCTGAAAATCAGCTAATTTACCCACAATTAAACAGAAAAAGGTATATTAACCATGCTACATGCATTAGACTATTATTAGATATAGGTTAATTTAATAACAAAGTGGTTCTAATTTGAACGTATCTTTCATTTAAAATAGCGTATAAAATACTTCCAGAGCACATACTTCTAACCCTAACCCCAGTCAGCCAATCATGTAGTAGTAGTAATAATAAATAAAATCCTGTAGATAAAGGTCACAGGCACAACTAATAACCGAGTCAGAAATCATAATGTGATCATAAAAAAACTCCAACCAAATCAGTAGTTCTGGGTAGTTGTTCTGCAGATGGAAAAGCTTTTATGATTAGAGAAGTCAGAATGTTTTGAGGTGTGCTGAGATGTAATTTATCGTGACACGTGAAGTAACATTATACATTATGTAGCTGAAGTAAACTATGGCAACTATAGTATAGTAAACAAAAGTATATATACTGTCTCAGAGGAAATAAAACACATTCATGGGGAGCATATTGCTCATAATGTGCATAAATTGGGCAAATTGGGGCTAAAGATGGATGTTTACTGAACTCCTTCAGTGTGTTTACTGATGCTGTGCAAATCTGGCACTGTCCCTGACTTCACTCTACATGATTTATATAATTATGTTATCACCAGCAAATCAATTATACGAGATCAGCCCTACAAAAGTTTGGATGCTTATCAGTATTTTCTGGGCCAGATTGTCCGGTGGGCATTATGGGCATGCAATCTTAAACCACAAATTATCAAAAAGTAGATATGATATTTTTTATTATAACAATTGGCCAAATACAGTAGTCTTTATTTAAATACAGTAGTCTATATTCTATCTCTCCCTTTTTCATCTACATTGCTAGTGGTCTCTCCCTAAGTCAACTAGCTAGTAGATGTCACTGCCATGCAAGCTAATCTTGTGGTTAGCAGCTCACAATCAAGGTAAATCTATGACCCAAAGGTTTGAATGACTCTAAATGAAGAAGCCAGGCTTTCCTCATAACCCAAAAAGCAAGTTTACAGGAAATATTTCTGTTATTTCTTCAACATTCATCTGGGAGCAGGACTGTGGCAATGGCAAGAATTGTTGAAAGGAGGTAACAGATGAGAAGATCATAAGGAAAACAGACAGACAGACAGAGAGAATGAGGGAGGAAGATGATAACAGGTGTGCATGCAAAAACTTTAATTAAACAATATTTTCATCCTTTTTAATTTAATGTAAGTTACTTTAGAGGATTTAACTGTCACGACTTGCGGGATCGGCAAGGCGCTGATCATAATCTCCCCACTCCTGGCTCTCCTTTTCTGTCTCTCTCCCCCTCTCTCCCTCTCTCTCTTGTTTTGCCGGGGCGGAACTCATGGTGGGTTCACGCCCTCGGCCCACGCCTTCCTGGATTGGGAACACCTGGGCCTCATCAGACCAGCTGATATTTTAGAGGGAGGAGGTCAGCTGTTCAATGCTGGATTGTTGTGAAGACTCTAGTCAGTACATGTCGAGCCCAAGTTTCCCGTGCCTCCATCTCAGAAAGTTAACATGTGTCTCTGTGTTCTAGATTCCCCAGACCCGTCCCCGTGTTTCCCTGTGTGGAGTGTGGAAGGAGTGACTGGTCACTAGCGGAGAGAGAGGTTGGAGTGAGCGCGTGTGTGATTCCCCTGTTTTCCCTGGAGCTCTGCCTCTCACATCTTGTATATAGCACTATCCTCGCACTGTCTGTAAATATACTTGGTGAAGATCTTGTAAATAAACCGTCTCTGTTAAAACACAACTCCGGAGTCCTGCGAGTGGATCCTCAGAGCAACCCATGACATTAGTAAAGTTGTGTTGTGTTTATAACTTTTTTCTCAAAGGTACAGCCTTTGCATTTCAAACTATTCTGTGTACTATCAATATGTCTGATTATTGCAGGAAAAAATCTTATCCTCAAAACAAGTCGGTTAGGGCCCAGAAAACATTTCTGCCCAGGGGTCTGTAATTTTATGATCCAATTATCTGGGTATGTGTCTGAGTATCTAGGTCAAGATGGGTAACAAGCAAAAAAGCTGAAATACTATTTCAAGAGAAAAAAATCAAAATATGGAGATTACAGTTGATGTTTCAAGAAGGCAAACTACCACGGATGCCGTATCCACTACAAAATGCCTTGTAGAGATGACTTAATGAAACTTATTGTGTATTTATTTTTATTGTGTCGCTAATACTCTGTCATACAGGTGAATTGTTAATGATATTCATATATTTCTGTTTTTGCCTCTGTTACTGAAAATGTGTTTTAAGTGGATCTAATGAGCGTATCCTCACACTTAAAAAATAAATGTGATGTGGGAATGTATTAAAACTTTTTAGCAAAGAGAAAGTACTTAAAGAGATTTAAGATACTAGTTTCTAAAATTATCTGGGGTAATGTTAGCTTATAACATGTTGTTTGTCAGCTGTATGGAGACAGGAGGGTCACATGCCTGATACGCTCATGATAAACCAACTGGGAAAATATCAAAAATAAATAAACAATTTCATATTCTTCAGTTTAGGAGTGAGGCTTCAGGTGAGGAGGAAGAAGATGAAATGGAGATGAGGAGGAGAGTAGAAATCGAGGAGGTGAGAGAGAAAAAACTAGAACGAGAAAAGGAAAATATAAATGTAAAAATGTTAAATGGTCAAATATAGTTTCAAACAAATACTGGTAATTTGAAAAATTAAAATAGATTATTACTGATACTACTATTTATCTAATGCTGCTGTATCGGATAAATCTTTTTTTTTTATCTTCTTCCATCCAAATCAGCAGGAAAGTGATACAAATTATTCTGTATTCATCCTTGATGACTGCTGGACCCAACAACACATCAGAATACAGGTATTGTGGGAAAAAAAACGTAGAAGCGATGTGCACATGACATCACAAAACAAAACAAAACATTATCATAAAGAATCAATGTCACCAATAACTAAAATTGGACAGAAAAGGAATGTGCTGAGGAAACTGGATTGTAAGTTGCTAGAATGTCTGTCTGTCTCTATGAACACATAGAGACAGACAGACATTCTAGCCTTGCAACATATTTGTGAACTGTCTAGGTGTACCCTGCCCCTTGATTTATGACAGCTCAACCCTGAATCAAAAATGGAAGAAGATGGATATATTAGACATTACAGAATTTTGATCAATGTCAGTCTGATAGGTACTGAAGTAGTGAAACAAAAATCCACACAGTTCACAAGAATAGACTGTATTTTTTCTATGATCACCCATCCAACATTGTCCCATTAAAAGTGGCACCATTTGTGTGAATTTTTGAAACATTTAGCAGCCGACTCACAGTTGACGGTGATGTCTACAGTCTGCACGTCTGTGTCAATATCATTGACAGCTGTGCATTCATACGTTCCTGCTTTCTGTCTGGATATAGATGGGATTTCCAAGTATTCATCATCTGACACCAGATCCCCTGTGAAAGATCACACACATAGAGAGAGAGATTGAAGAGGGTCATTTGGAGATAATGTGACAAGTCAACAGCTGTGGCCATGTTCAGTATTTTCACCAACTGTGTGCCTGCAGGACACCTTAAAAGGCAAGAAGGAATATATTGATTACAAGGGCTGATGGATCATTGCAGCTGTATACTATAACTATAATTCACCTAAGTCTACTGATTTGTACTTCATTTAAATGCGATACACAGCAACAAAAATTGTAAAGAAAAAAAATCTATTTGTTTTGCTAAAAAAAGAGAAGCTCATTTCCAACTATTGGAGTGAATATGAGTGTGAATAGTTGTGAATAGTTGTCTGCAGCAAACTTGCAACCTTTCCAGGATGTATCCCACCTCTCCACCTTTCATTGCTAGGATAGGCTACATCCGCCCTGTGACCTTAAATTGGATATGTAGACAAAAATGAAAGGGTGGATTTTGGCAACAGCAGGAATGAAGACAGATCCTGATCGGGCGTGACAGGCCAAATTCTAACACAACGTGCCAAAACCTGCACTTGTAAATATGGCAAGTCTGTCTTATTCTCATGTTTCTTGTAGCACTCTGTAGCACCAATTCTTGACCAAGGCCAGTTCTTGATTTAACATTTTTCATAGGATGCTACAGAATTTGGTGATTAATGCTTTGTTCGGTGCCTACTCTTTATCACTCGTCTGTCAGAATTTTCATGTTCTGTACTTTTGTGTGTGCCTCTCAAGAGTACAAGCACACTGGGATTACTACTGAGATCTGAGAATAAGAAGAGTGCAAAATCCCAGCCACACTTTTTTTCATTGTATCAATTTGACATGCTTGACAGAGACACTTAATACAGCACTCAACATAAAGAACAAAAGACATAATTGACTTCAAGCTTCCTCCCAAGATGCTGGAAGGCGACAGTAATAAACTGTGCATGGATTCACTTTGCTGGGTTTGGGGACATTATTGAATTGCACCTGGGGAAGCTGTTAAGGATAGAATGCCTCACTGACACACAGTGACACACTCACCTGATGTGGAGTATCAAGAGAGCTCACATAGGTTCCACTCTGTTCCATTTATGCTCCTCTTGTTCCCTTTCTGCTTTCTCTCAAAAGAGGATAATAGAATTTGCCAATAGAGACTACAGTGTCAGTTAAAGCCACTTTGCAAATTCCACTGAGGTGAGTTAATCAAGATGATCAAGTGAAGACTTTTCAGGGAGCTTTTTGAGTGCCCTGACAAAAATAAATTACAATTGTCCATGCTGGAAGTTATAAATGCATTTACCAGTTTTTGCACACTATTGCTAAACAAAGACAAATATTTTGTCTTAGAGTGATGCTGAAATTGAATGATGCAATATGTGCATGCTAAAGGACATATTTAACCAGAAATTATTCCAAGATTCATCAGTGTTACTGGATGCGAAGGTAATGCCCTCTAAACTACATATCTGGTTAGACACCATGTTTCATGTTGAATGTCCAGGATGTTTGGACTGAATATGTTTTGCCTGAATTAAGGACTAGGAAATTTAAGATGGGTATCATCTGGATTTCAAAGAAAATGTATGCAGTGTTTTCTAATAACATTATGCTGTGGAAGCATGTATAATATAAATAGAATTGGTTCCAGCACAGAACTCTGTAGAACTCGATTACTGACTTTTCTGCATGAAGAAGACACAAACTGGAATCTATCAGACAGATATGATTCAAATCACACTGTAGTAAGATATTGGTCATCAGTTTTGAATGCTGCACTAAGAACAAACACGGGGATGAGCACACTGTTCAACACCATAAGATGAGTGAAACTTGAATGAAACTTAAAATAAACTAATAACTTCTCGTTCAACATTTTTTAAAATAAAACAAAGGTCAGAAATCACTCTAGTTATCTAATACAGATCAAGTAAGGTCTTTTCAAGTAATGGCTTAATTACTCCCCTCTTAATGTGTCTTAGTGTGTCTTCTGTTAATAACGATAGATGGATCAGATTTAAAATTGAAGCACGAATTAATGGTGAGACTTCTTTCAACAGTCTGATTGAAATAGGGTCTAGGAGGCACACTGATCTTTTAGAAAAAGAAATTATTGAAGTTAACTCAGAAAGATTAATAGGAGAGGAGGAGTCTAAGTAAATATCAGCTGTTAAAAAGTTGCTATACTTAATGAAACATCTGTGAGGGAGTTGTGAGTAATTTTCCCCTAATGGGTAAATTTAGTTTGTGAGAAAATTTCTTGGCTCAGCAGAGCTCCAACTATTTATCAGCCTGGCTGAAGTGCTGAAAAGAAACCTGGGGTGTTCCTGTTTTTCTCAGAGGGGTTATTTATATTATATATTTATATATTTGTGAGTCCAAATGAAGATTTTCTAAATGAGTGCAATGCCATTGCCTCTACTCCATCTGTTTTGTGCACATTTGTGAGTTATACCAGGGAGTCAAACATCTCTGATTTCTTGCTTTCTTTTTAAGGGAAGACAGCATCTACAGTCATACCTAAAGAGGATCTAACACGATTAAGAAACTATTCCACCTCGGTGAGAGCAAAGATTTCAGTAGCTGCTTGGTACTGTGTTGGCACATGGATTGTAATGTGCTGTCTTCCTCGCTTCACACCCAAATGGTTGCAGCAGATAGCCGCCTCTCCCTAAGCATCATTCTGATGGAGGTTTCTCCCTGTTAAAAGGTCATCTGATTGTTGGGTTTCCTGTTTTCTCTGTATTATTGTAGGTTCTTTACCTTGCAATGTAAAGCACCTTGAGGTAACTGTTATGATTTGGTGCTTTATAAATAAAAATTGAATTTAACTTAAAGAAAAGATAACAGTGCAGGAATCACCTCCTTAAATATAGTTAAAGTGTGTCCAGAAGGACTTCTATTGTAATGAAATTGTCCAGTGTCTAACCAATTATCATAAAGTGTTAAGAATGAAACCAATTAAGTCTAATAAAAATTTAAATGCAGTATTAAAGCTGTCATTTTTTATCATCTACATGGATGCTAAATGAAGATGTGTTTGGTTCTAGTCCAAACCACCAGGCTGTGGTTTAACCGGTGAACAGGCTAATTTGGCTGTAGGCGTGAACATGAGTATAAATGGCTGTCTGTCTCTACATTAGTTCTGTCAAACTGGTGACCTTTCCAGGGTGTATTCCAACTCTCACCCTATGCTACCTGAAATATGCTCCAGCTCCAACAAATCATAAAGGGTCTTTACTTCTTGCACTTCTTACAGTATATCCTTTCATCAAATCCTAAGCAGGTGACAAACACAACAATTTCAGCTGCTCATAGTAGTGTTTAAATATTAAAGTGGTTAAGTTTTTTCTTTCAGTTTCACAGAGGTCAAAAACTATGACTACTCTCCTTTAATTTTAAATTAATCTTTCTGAGCAAACCAGTGCTGTGCAAATCTGGGAAACCTTTATTGCACCTTGGTTAAATTCATTAATTTTCCTGTTCATTCTGGGTACTGCCTAGGCAGACAAATTTAGCAGTCAGATTGTGTGGTCTGTGGAAGATAGCAAGGATCACTTCTGATCTGCCACAAGCCCCTAAAGCCATCTATCAAAGGTGAGAGGGAGCTGGGTTATGGCTCGAAGAGAGCCTTGGTCCAAGTCTGAAATCATCAATCTTTACGCACTCACAGACAAACACACGCACATGCATGCACACACACACACACATACACACACACACACACACACACACACACACACACACAGATAGATACCGAGAGATACCGAGAGAGAGAATCTTTATATATTCACTCATTTATACCCCAGAGTGCTTGCCATAGCTGGCCTCACACTGAAAGGCCCAAGGCTGGAGAAAAGTTTCATTGCAGGTGGGAGATACTGGAACAGTATCAGTTTGGAATGCATAGTCCAAACTGCATAGACTGGGACATTTTGTTCTCTACTCAAAGCCTCTTTTAGTCCGAGCAACTATGCACTGCGACTCTATCAATTCTTAATCGTAAACACCCTTTCCAGTCAAATACTGGAACCAAAATGGGTATCAAAATGGTATATAAAAAATACCAACTAGAATCCAAAAAATTTAGTTCGAACAATTTCAGAGAAAACTATGTGAAACTAGACGGATTGTCTTTTATCTTACTTGAAAAAAATCTAAATGACAGCTTCTCAAGCTGATGCTTGTTTATTTATATTTTCCTCTGATAAACATTCCATACATTCATTCAGTTCACTTCACTAAATTCTAGTTTTATTAATTAATGCAAAGAGGATCTTCATTTTGCATTTCAATGGACCTTCTCAGAAACTGATTTTGAATAGATAAATAAATATAAGCAACCAGTCATTGCATCCATTTTTATGATGAAGAGTGCTGAGATAAGAACAGAATAAAGAATGCTTTTGAATGGGGCTGTCTCTGAAAAATTGTTTGTTTTACATACAGATTCTCAGTCAAAGCAGTATTTTACAAAGAGATAGCAGGCATAGTGAAGGTTTAGCCACAAAACACAAACAGTCTTTTCAACAGATATCAGAGTTGTTATCTCAGCTGTGTCTATAAAAAAATATATCTTTCCATGATTGGAAAACTTGATGTGAAGACAAAAACAAAAAAAGAAAAAAGACACCTGGCATAAACCAAAGATGTGACGAATGCATGGCCCACACCACAAAGTGTTAAGTCACCAATATAAATAATCTATAACCAATATAAACAATCTATACTATTTGTAAATGTATGTATGTGTACTTTTCAACCCAGCATACTTGAAAAAAAATTTGGCAAATCTTCTTAAATCCCTAGCCACCTCTGTATTTTAACTGACTAATAGACTGTACCTTTAAGAGGTGAAAACCTTCTGATGTTAAGCAGAAAGTTAAGCAGCAATGAAATAAAGCATTGGATCCACTAAATCAGATTTCATAGTATTAGTTCCCAGCAATGACAGTGCTTCAGACCCATGTCTCACAAGTACATTTACCTCTCCAGTCAGATTAATTTGCAAGTTTCCCTTATTATGAATAAATATTACAAAAGCACCCACTCTTCTGCAAAACCTATTTTAAGTCCAGTTGTCCACTATCAGTTTATGACCACAATGCAGTGGAAAAGAAAATCTTCTCTTCCTTTCATTAGTTATTGATTTACCAGTCAAGAGAAAGGTCTAATAAGGCATTGTACTTCATTTTTACCATTTTAACCAACAATTCTTTCCTTTTCAAAAGCATGATGCTCTCCAATAAATATTCCGTTAAAGGCACATTCTATTGTAGTGCATGACCAATTTTATCTTGAGCTTATCTGGGCAACCAGACACATTCCTTTTACTATTGGTTGAATTTTAAAGTTAAGTAATATGAAATGGAAAACCTTCTGAATCCTATTGACAGAAGTGAAACCAAAAGTAAATCAAATTAAACAGCAGGTTGTTAAAACATAGAGTCATAGACCAATGGTGGCCAATACTTCAATACTTTGCTTTCTTTGGTCTAGCAAGCAAGTAATAATAGAAAAATGCCACTCAGAACATACAATGGAACATTGGGACATTCAGTACTGAAAATTCTAATCTTCTCCCTAATGCTATACACTGTGTATTCTCATCATTGATGCTATCATTCAGCCTCCAGAACATTTACATCCGATTATTACCTTTCATTTAATTTAATTACCTTTAAGTGAAACTTTAATTAATTAAAAAAAGTGAAATCCACTATGGGTCAAACAGAGTCAGTTATAGTCGGGATTGGGTGGAAAACAAAGAGGGACAAAAAAAGACACTGTAGATGCCATAGTCTATGGTAGTCTTAATGTTTGGAGTCTGTTTTCCCTTTGAGTCTAAGTTGGCCAGGATTTTTCCTCCTTATGTGGTGGAGTCTGCTTCCTGCTCTTCAACCAAGCACATTCAATAGAATCTTATTAATATAGCACCAAATCATAACAACAGTTGCCTCAAGGCGCTCCTCATCAAACTACAGTCCTCTGCTGTATTCAAGGACCAGTCTGCCACCTTTCAGTGGTAAATCAGCCCCCAAATGTTATTTGTCTTCGCTTGTTTTCTATTGTGTTGATCTCTGTGCTTTTTTGCCTCCAGTCAACCCCAGCCTGGGTTGAGAACCCACCACTTACCTGCACAACTCACCTGACTCTTTGGAACTGGCTCACTCCATCTGTCTACATGCACCTTTGTGAAGATTTCAGTCCCCAGTTAACCTCCCTACCCTCCTGGATGTGCTTACCTCATGGCCATTCATTTGGGAGAGACTCACTGGATTCCCTCCCCCTGCTAATCATTGGACAGGCAACATCTTCCAAGGACTGACTCACCCACACTACCAAGTAAGCCATTGGTTCTCGCTAGTTATCTTTTGAGACTCCCCTATCTGGAATCACTGGATTAATGTCCCTTTCCTCTTCCATAGTGTCACTTCCTCCTTTGGATCCATTACTCTGTCTTTGTCGCCCTTGTGAATTCTACTTGTTGCAAAACATTATTGTAAATAAATCTTTTGAATTCTGTTGCATTTGAGTACTCTATTTTGCTTCGACCAGACCATGACAGCAAAAACATATATATTATCTTATTTTACTCTTCATTTGCTCTTACTTTTATTTAGACTCTTTATTTAAAACATTTTAATTATGCTGTACTCCATATGTCCTGAAATTAGCAAACAAGGCCATAAATTCAGTAAAGATGTCTTAATGAGGTCATAGATTAAGTCTCATAGACTTCTAAATAATCACAGAGGAGCTGTTCTCTGCTGACCATTAGTTTAATGCACTTTTCCATTAACTCAAACACTACATCCATGTGTTCTAAAAAATCAGTATTAAGAAAATAAAGTAAAATGCAAAAAAAAAATGACATCATTAAGAAAAAAAAAACACCAATATATCAAAAATTTACCTGAAGAGGAGATGAGCTTCCAGCTGACGGAAGGCTCTGGTTTACCACTTGCTTGGCACATCAGGGTGATGTTAGAGCCTTCATTTACCACAACATCTCTTGACAGGTTGGTGATTTTTGGTGGCACTGTGAAGGAAAATCAAATATATAAATTCAAGCTGTGATGTTACTAATCTCAAGAGGCACTTCTGAAAAAGGATATCACTATGACATATGTCATTATCATTATTATTGTTATTATTTTGCATAATAATATTTGACATATTTCAGTTTGAAGTTTGACACTAAAAAAGGGCCTGTATATTAGAATGGAATCTGTCGCTTGCCAAAGACATGGATTTAGACAGGGAAAATCTTGCAAAGAGACACAATGAAGCTGCATTATAGGTACTGTATGATGCAGAACTGTGTTAGACTAAAAAACAAAAAAAATTAAATCTTAACCTCTGATCCATCAATTTTAGTTCATTCTTTTGCTCTCTTTGTTTTTGCTCTAGGGTTTTTCCAAGCACCTAAACGTAACACAAGTGAATATGGATTGTCAGATTAATCAGCCATGAAAAAAATAATGATTGAAAATTTAAAATGTTCATTATTTTTTCCCAAAGGACTTTGAATGTTATCAGCCAATTAAATTGACATTTTTAGTTTTAAGAACTCCCATAGATATCACCAGCAGGTGCTCACCTATTACCAGTGTAGGGACTAACGCGTTGTTAAGTAACGCGTTACAGTAACTACATTATTATTGTGGTCACGAGCACGGTAACTAGTTATTATGCCAAAATCAGGAACACGTCGTTATTCGTTACTTCATGTGGTGGCTATCGCAGAGATTCCACAGTTTCAATAACATTAGCAAGTGGTGGACGCCAGCAGGTGGATGAGGGAAAGGGGGGGCAGGAGGGGGAGAGACCTGAGGCGGCCACCGGTGTCAGGTGAACTGAACTTCAGGTAAGAAGTTATGACCTGCAGTCTGTCTGGGTCAGATATAAACCAAGTTTAGGTATAGTTTATTTTCGTTATGCTGACTTTTTCGTACTGAGTATTAGCTAGCATGACAAAGTTTCTATACAGCTGGGTGGGTGCTATGATGTTACTGATGTTGAACTTTATTTTGTTCATAAGATTAATTATTAGAGTTGCCAACCGTCCCCTAAAAAACGGAATCGTCTCGTATTCAGAGAAAATATTACGCGTTTCGTATTGAGGTGAAAAGGAGCACAGTATGTCCCGTACTTCAGATACAATGAAAAAGAAGACAGAAAGCTGGAGTTATTCTGTCTTTATGCTGCACAGCTGCCTCTTCTTCTCTCATTCTCTCCCCTCCCTCTCCTGTTGCTACTTCAATCATGAAACTGATCAATGATCAGCTGATCGGCCTTTCTGTCACAAGTCCCGTCTATCTTGTTTGCTTATCGCCCACTTTGCACCAGAAAGAAGAAACCAGCGGAGGTTGCGTTAAACAACAGCAGCACGTTTAAGCTTGATCAGCTGTTGTTAGAATTTATTTAATATTACCTTCTAGTATCAGCCGATGTTTGCTGGAGCCACAGCCGTAAAAGCTGCTGGTCATGATATCGGTTTGAATATGTGGTGAGAGGGAAACATGAAGGTGAAACCAGCAGATGTCCTTACTGAATCATCAGAGCTGAACAGGTGATGGAGAAACAGGTTTACCTTTAGGTGACATGAATGAGTTAAAGTTATGAACTGTTTCTAAGAGACAAATACCACCAGGATCCTTTTTTTTTTACAGCTGACAGCTGGTAACTGTGCAGGGGCGGGTCTAGCAAAGTTTTGCCAGGGGGGGCACGTAGGGCGTTAACAGGAAGGGGGGGCACAAAGAAGTACTTTTCTTTCTTATTCTCATTTAAAATATCTAGCTTTTAAAAAATAATTATCTGAATCTTACAACAAACGATTGATAGATTGATGCATATATACCATCAAAACAGTGTACATCATTCTCACAACAGCGTTTGTTTCCATTCAAAGGCTTTATGATTTTTCCTATAATGGCGGGCCGGTTGTAATATTCTGTTCTTAAACTTCTAAGGAACATATAATGCAACACAGGATATGTACTCATTAGTACACACGACATTTGACATATGTTTTTTTTTTTTTTTGCTTTAGGGCAGCGATTCGCCTACACACTTTACAATCACAGGTCAAGGATGACCCTCGGTTTGACCACTCGTCCTGATCTGGTGGTCAGTATAGGGCTAGTGTCCTTGGGTGGTGTTTTAGTGCCTCTAGATGGCGACTGACGCTCTGCTTGTTGTTGAGTTGCACTTTCATGCTGGGTTACCAAATCGGGTGCTGGTGCTGAAGGTGCTGGTGACGCCTTAGCGCCTCTCAGGTGCCGTCGGTTACGCCGTATAGTCTGCCCCTCGCCAGCGCGGATCACGAAAGAGCGGGCAGTCTCTGCAGGTTGGATGATGACAGCCAATTTCCAGCTTCCGGACTCATGCTGAAAGCGGATGTGCTCCGCCTGCTGCGGCCTCGGTAGTGGTGCAGCGCTGCAATTGTAGTATCGCCTCTGGTGCTCTTGTCTTTCCATCCGTGTCTTTTGCTCCACCGTCAGGCGTATGACGCGGGGTACCAGCTGGTATCCGGTGATGGGAAGCACTGAGCGCAGACGTAGAGTCACGAGGAGCTGCGTGGGTGATCTGAAGCCGTCGACTGGTGTGTTCCTTTGCTCCAATAGAGACAGGTAGGGATCTACTCCCTGAACATGAGCTGTATCCAGAACTGATTTGGCAGATTTGACTGTTCTTTTGGCAAGGCCGTTGCTTTGTGGGTACAAAGGGCTTGAGGTTGTGTGGACAAAGTCCCATGTGACTGCAAAGTCCTTGAACTCTCGAGAGCTGTACTATGGGCCGTTATCTGAAATAAGCTTCTCTGACTGGCGAATATGGCCTTGAGCTTTTTGATGACGGACCCTGCGGTGGTGGAGAATAGCCTTTCGACCTCAAAGTAGCGGCTATAATAGTCCACATAAGTAGTCTCGTCCACGCCATGTGAAGAGGTCTGAGGCCACGGCCTGCCATGGTCTCTCAGGAATCTGGTGTGGAATGAGAGGTTCTTTAGGGTTCACTGCACGCCTCTCCTGACATATGGAACAGTTTTCCACCGTGGCAGCAATGTCCTTGCCCATGCCTGGCCAGAAGAGGGCGTCCCTCGCTCTCTGCCCTCCTCTCAATCCCCATGTGCCCAGTGTGGATTCTCTCCAGCATATTGTTTCTTAGGGCTGTTGGCACTATGATTTTGTCACCTTTGAAGATGATGCCATGGAACTGTGAAATTTCATCTCTGAAGTTCCAGAAGTCCAAAAGGGTTTTGGAGCATTTTTTTCTGTCCTCAGGCCAGCCATCATGCACGGTTTGCTTTAGCAGGGTGAGCTGCGGGTCGCATCCTGTCGCAGCCTGGATCTCTGAGAGCTTTTTGTCACTTACTGGGAGGCTGTTTATCACTGAGTGGACCTGGTCCTCCATGCCTTCGCTTAGCGTGCTGTCGTGGTCGAGCAATGGTTTCCTGGACAGTGTCTCGGCCACAGGTATGTCTTTTCTGGGCCAGTGCACAATCTCTATGTCGTATCTCTGCACTCTGTCGTGATTCTGATCCCAGACGAACTCCGAGTCTTGCTTGAGCAGCTGACGCAGTGGTGCATTCCCTTCTGATAGTCGTAGTGCGAATCTGGACAGGTAGTTCGCCATTCCAAGAATTGTCTCGAGCTCATTCTTATTCTCAGGAGGTGGCATGACCTTGATGGCCTGTAGTTTCTTTGGGTCTGGCTGGATGCCCTGCCGGGTGAGTTTGTGTCCAAAGTAACTCACTTCTGCGGTGCCTATGACACATTTCTCTGGATTGAGATGCACTCCTCGCTCCCTTGTGCACTCAAGGATGGCACGGAGGTTCTCGTCGTATTCCTCCTTTGTCCTGCCAAACACGAGGATGTCGTCCATGATGGCTGCCACTCCATTGAGCCCTTCGTATGTCTCATTGATTTTCCTTTGGAAAATGTCCTGTGCTGATATTACCCCAAAGAGAAGGTGCAGAAAGCGGTACCTGCCAAAGGTCGTGTTGAAGGTGGTGAGGAGTGTTATGGTAAGGACTAATTCAATGGTTCATGCAGCACCCTCTGGTGGTTGTGCCGTGTGTATTTGTTGTTGCAGCATGGCAATAAACAGAGTCGCCACGTTAAGACAGAGCTGTCCCAGTCTTGTCAATGGTGCTGCTAATATAAACCCGAGATCTACCAAAACATGGTGTCAGAAGTACTCTGGAGGGAAGGAGAACGTCACGAAAACGGAAGCTTTCTCACCGGAGAGAACTCACCCTGCAAGTTTGCATTAACAGCCACAGTAAGAGCTAAGCTAACAAATTAGCAAACGCTAACTAGCATCTCGCGACTAGCAGCATGGCAGCCGCGCCGGCAGCCTTCCAAGTATCACCGCCGCCGAAGTTCGACTTTTCAAAGCCAGAAGAGTGGCCGAAATGGATCCGACGCTTTGAGAGGTTCAGGATAGCATCCGGACTCGAGCTACAATCGGACGAAAACCAGGTTAACACTCTGATATATACAATGGGCGATGAAGCTGAAGACGTGATCATTTCGTTGAACCTGACCGAAGAGGAGGCGAGTGAGTACCACACTCTCAAAGACAAACTTGAGGCACACTTTGTAGTCAGAAGAAATGTTATCTTCGAACGTGCAAAGTTCAACCAAAGGCAGCAAGAAGCAGGAGAGACTGCAGACGGGTTTATTACATCCCTATATGCCTTGGCTGAGCATTGTGGCTACGGGGCGCTGCACAGTGAAATGATAAGAGACAGACTCGTTGTCGGAATAAGAGACAAGAGGC